ATAAAAAAATATGCGTAGCAAATGGCTGAAAATACATCGCGAATTGCGATGCGATACCGGGAAAATTATTCCCTGTGAACTGACTAATGGCAATTCCCATTTTTGCCAAAAAATTGCCGTGGCTCGAAAGTACGTCGACTGGCGTGCTTCAAAATAGGACGTTCCATATGGGAGCATAGCAGTAACAACTCACCCAATTTCAAACAAGTGGGTCAAGCGGTTCCTGAGTTATCGTTGACCAAAACCAAATGTTGACGGACGGGCGGACGGACGGACGTACGACGAACGACGACCCATGGCAATAGCTCAACTTGACGATGTCAAGGTGAGCTAAAAAGAGGACCCACTTTAAAAAAAAGTACTATCGTCCTGTTAGTGTTCTACCCATTCAGTCGAAGATCTTCGAGAGGGCCATGGTGGACCAACTGAATGATCACTTCCAAACTATCTTCCGTCCATTGCTATCAGCATACCGTAAAGGCTACAGCTGTCAGTCGGCCCTAATGGCCCTGACAGAGGAATGGAGGAGAGCTTTGGATGATGGTCATTTTGTTGGAGCCATCTTGATGGACCTCTCGAAGGCTTTCGATTGTCTGCCCCATAATCTCTAACTTGCCAAGCTCAGAGCATATAACCTTTCTGAGCGTGCCATAGCATTGCTAGATAGCTATCTTTCTGACAGAAAGCAGTGGGTAAAACTTGGCAACACTCAAAGCTTATTTTTGCCATTGTCTAAAGGTGAACCACAGGGATCGATCACAGGTCCTATTCTTTTTAATATCTTTATAAATGCAGGGTTCTGCCCACGGTGGGCGGCGGTGGGCGGGTGTGCCCGGCACTCGCGGTTGCCGCCCGGCAATATAAACGAGTCGGTTATCTCCGCCCGGCACTAATTGCCCAAATTCCGGGGGGCCATGCCCCCGGACACCCCTAAATTGGCTTCACGCCTACGGCGCTTGCATCTTGCAACTTTGTCGCAACTGGATGCGCCCGGCACTAAAAAATCCTGGGCAGAACCCTGTAAATGATATATTTTATTTCATTCATAAAACAACACTGTATAACTATGCAGATGATAACACAATTACTTACGCAAACAAAGACTTTGATGTTATGAAAGAGACCCTGGAGGCTGAGGTTCTTGTTGACTGGTTTTCTGAAAACCAGATGGAGGCCAATCCAGGCAAATTTCAAGGCCTCGCAGTGGGTAAAGATACCCACAATAGGAATCCTACCTTCAGTATTCAGGGTGCTGACATAAAGTGTAGTGATGATGTTAAACTACTTGGTGTAACCCTCGATTACATGTTAAATTTTTATGTTCACATATCAAATATTTGTAAAAAAGCCGCTAGGCAAATCAATGTGCTGCGACGCATTGGAAGGTACATACCTACTAGTTGTAGGAAGATAATTTACCAGTCCTTCATCAAATCAAATTGTAATTTTTGTCCCATTATATGGCATTTTTGTAGTGAAGCCAACAGTAAAAAGTTGGAAAAGTTAAACTGCCGTGCTCTACGCCATGTGTATCAAGACTATAGCAGTGATTATGAATCACTCCTTTTGAAAGACGTGTCTACATCACTAGGCCTACGTAGACAAAGACAGATTGCTAAAGAGGTTTACAAGATCCTAACCAGACACTGTCCATCCTATCTGTCAAATTTGATCTCACCCAAAGATATTTGTTATAATCTACGCAGTAAAAATGTAAAGGTCCCACGTCTTATAACTGTAACATATGGGAAAAAAAGTTTTTGTTACTATGGTGCCAACCTATGGAATGAACTACCACAATGTTTACGCGATAGTGAAAGTCCTAAGGTGTTTAAAAAACTTATAAATACGTGGAATGGTACAGAATGCCGGTGTGCTCTATGTAAATTACTATAATTTCTTCCGGCATACAGGCATTTTTGTGTACAGGCCTTCTGTCTCACTTCACACTTGTAATTACTTTTATTTTATCTTATTGCTGTGTCTCATTTGTCAGCTTGTAATTGTTTTTATTGTTTTTATTTTGTAAATTCTTAATACTGTTTTTAAACTACTGTTATTCTACCATTGTTTGATATCGGTCAAAGAGCTGTATAGCTCATGTTATGTATTTTGCCACATACCGATGGGTATCTTATCTTATCTTATCTTATCTTAATTTTAACTCTTGAGAAAATCAACAATTCATCTCAACACCATGTCACCACTTCTCAATCGGGCACTAACAGTAACATACATGTTTATAAACTCCACCGTTATTTTGTCTATGCACATCACTCATAAGCTCCTATGATATTCTTGCACACGCACAAAGGCACCCTTTACTCTATGTCTAGTACAGCTGCCAGACTGAAAGTAGGGTGTCCTTGGAGCCCGCCACTAGTAAATGCGGTTCCACGCTAGCTGTCCGAAAATCCAAGCACTGCACTGCCTCCTGGTGGCAGGCCAACACGGCCAGCGGCTTGAACTTCTTCCAGTCGAAGACAGAGATGTGTGAGTCCCACCGCGCCACGGCGACAATCGCGCGATCGTCCCGAATCGTGACGGCACCGACGCCCGCGCTCGTCATCGTAGTACTGCCGCCGTCCACCAGGCGGCCCTCGTGGTGGCGCCACCCCTGCAGCGCCTCATCGACGGAGCCGGACACGCCCCTCAGCGTCGCGTCGACATCCATCGCCAGCGCGGGGTCGCGGTGAGGTCGCAGCGAGGTCCCGACCTCACCACGTCCCGTCGCGTCCCACGCGCGCACCTCCCCGCTCTCGTAGCCGGCAAACAGCACTGGTGCGTCGGTCATGTCGCGGCGCCGCAGCGCGACGCACATCGGCATTCCAGCGTCGTCGCCGGCGCGGAACGTCTGCGCGACATTGCCGGAGGTCAGGTCAATGAGCTCGAAGCTGCGGTCGTCTGCAGCGGGTTTAGCGAGCAGCGAACCTGAGCGACTGCTGCCGCAGAATCCGACGCCGGTTCTTCCGATACCTGCGAGAGAAACGCAGTTTGTACGACATTCGCTAGTGCCTATATGCCTGGTGTGACTGACTGAGAACTGTGGCTTATAATTGTCATGATTATAGAACATTTTATAAACCCTGGGAGCTGTGGCTGATCACTGTCGTGATAGAACATTCTATACACCAGGTGTGACTGACTGGAAACTGTAGCTGATCATTCTCGCGATAGAACATTCTATACACCAGGTGTGACTGACTGGGAGCTGTG